TTTTTTAATATAAAATATTAATAATTCTAGGTAATTGTGCTGAAAATTATGTTCGGTCTGCGGCTGTTTTAATATACATAATATCTGTTACTGTTCCTTTTAAGAGTGAAGCCAAACATATTTTCCTACATGGGAACTAAAGATAAAAGGGCTATAACAGTTCAAGAGATCGCTGTTCTTCGGTAAGTGAAAGTATACTGGAGTATTTGCACTCCTACTGTGATAGCTTGATATCTCACTGAATACCTTGAAGACTCAATGTGCATGTGACACAGATTGCAGATTCAGGTCCTGATCTTGCAGACCACATACATTAATGAAGATGCTATCATCCTTTTTTTATTCCATGGTGATCACTAGTCTTTTCAGTCAGTGGTGTTCCGAGTCATAGGCTGGAGACATGTACTTGTCTGAAGCAATGGGCCAAATTGCCTGCGTGGTCTTACGCTGCATGGCTCCCATGCAACAGCAGAAAAACAGAATGACATGGTGAAAAATATGACCCGTTATCCTTCCTGACTTTTGTTTCCCCCTTCTTCTGGCTGGAATCCTATTTTCTTTCTTGCTGAACTCTCTGAAGGGCTCCAGAGAGGGCTAAGCCTTTGCTCATCTGTGTGTAGCTGAAAGAGGCAAAAAATTACGAGGAATTTTTCCTGCCTTAACCTACTTCCATAAGTCACTACTAAGAGAAAGTAAAATTTATTGTGTCATATTCAAAGATAATTATATGGTTTCTGGACACCTGAAATTAGTGTTACATCCATAACTGAGAATGATGGATGCCTCACAGTCATGTATTACATTATATTATCTGTTTAGCTAGCTGGAATATTCTGCTTGGACTACTATTTATAACTCTTTGAAAACCACACTCTTCAAGGGATAAATTCCAAGGTTTGAGAGCCAGAAATTTGATCAAATCCTTGTTAAAAGGAGGGCGTTCACTGCTTAGTTGTTCATATTTTGTCTCCCAGTGGTTTGCATGTGCATATATTTGCACTTATAAAAGGAATTATTAATTTGTGAATCGTGAGAAGCCCCACATTCTTGCTGCAAGGCAAATTTGCAAAGTGATGACAATTAACTAAATTTGTGGTGTAGCCATCTGGGGTGCTGTTCGATTTACTTTTAACATGATCACATTTAATGTTGTGTCCAAGAGCTTTGGTGTTTGGTAGGCATTGACTGGGGGGAAGCCTGCTGACCTGCGGTGTCTGTTCAGCAGTGCCACAGTACCCGACTCCCCTGTGCAGCCTTGGGGAGGGATGGCAGAGGAGAAGAGACATTACCTTTTATCATTCTGCTCTGATCTGAGTACACTGGCCATGCTAGTTGATAAACTTGTCCATCCTGGTATATACTTTAGCAGAGGTGTCAAAGAACGGCTTGGTAACGTTAAGAACAGGGTATGCTTCCAGAAGTACTAGCAACAAAAATGACAGATATTAGTGACAGATTGGATTTCATACTCCTTCATCTGCCCCAGGCTTACACAGTGGCTAATTACTTAACTCTGGGTTTATGACTCTGCTACCTGGAGTGTGTTCATGGTGTAGTTAGTCAAATAAAGCAGAGTTCAGCTTGTGGGGTACAGTATACATCATCAATATTGCAACATACTTCTTGTTGAGTGCATACTGTAACAGACAGGAAAAGACAGTACTAACAGTCTTTGTCACTGTACACATTTTCTTTTGTATAAGTAGCCTTAAGAATAATCTGTTCTTTCCTTTTAGATATTTCATTAAAATACATTGAAAAGGGAACAATAGAAAATTGAGGAAACTGGACTCATTGGTCTTCTGAACTCACTTAACTAGCTGATTTTCTAAGCATATGTTGGTCACTGTTGTCTGTTTCTTTTTAGAATCACTGCACAAAGACTTGCTCATTTGAATAAATGTTTGATGAATTTCAAATTAGGAAATTTCAGTTACAAGAACCATCCACTGAAATTAGGTGAACTGCAAGGGAACCATTTCACTGTTGTTCTCAGGTAATATGTTATTATGTATTTAGACAGTTCTGTTAGACCTTTTTTCTCCTTTAACTAGTTAAAGGGATATCAGTACATCTTGTGTTACAAAAATAAGAAAAGTCCTTCTTTTATCAGGAATCTGTTGAATTTGGTAAGTGCTATATAATGTTGATGTTGAGCTTTAATATTATGGAGATCAGAAAATAGTGTATGCTCTTAATAATCTGTCTGTAACTTTTTTTTTAATGCTAGAAACATAACAGGAACTGATGATCAGATAGAGCAAGCAATGCACTCTCTCAGGGAAATTGGATTCATTAATTACTATGGAATGCAAAGATTTGGAACCACAGCTGTTCCTACGTATCAAATTGGCAGGTATGTGTTCTTTTCATCCCTTTCCCTTTGTTCTTTTTTTTTTTTTTAATTTTATTTTTATCCCTGTATAACTTTTAATGTATTTTTGGGAATGTTTTTCTAACATATTGCATATGCCAGTTTTAACTTTAGATTCAAGAAAGAACTTGTTTCTAAACTTGCTTCAGCAGGTATCTTGCATAATACCACTATTTTTAATATTGCATAAATCTAAACACTAATACTTCTTTTTTTTGGATAAGATGGCTAAATGTCCTTAAAGTATATTTAGTCAGTTCTTAATAAACTTTACTGTTTGAATCTTAGAGCTATTCTACAGAACAATTGGAATGAAGTAATGGATTTGATATTAAAACCACGGCCAGGAGGTAAGGACTGAAAAATGATACATCAAGTGTTTCTGCCTCTCCTCCATGAATTGTATGTTCAGAAAAAAACACTTTCAGATTTTGATTCTTTTAATTTGAAAGGATGTTTGTGAGGACAGCTTTGCATGTGCTAAACTTCAGCCAGTTTAGCAATGGAGAAGCAGTCTTCAGATTCTGCGTTTCTGCTTGAGTTTCCTTGCTGTGCAGTATCTTGCAGTGGGGATGAAAAGGGACCTGAATACTTATGCACAAGAGTCTGCTCAGACTCGCCGTGAAACCTTCCAACCTCAACTATTCTGTGATTCTGTTGATCTGTGTAATTACTGTGACTGAAACTTTAATTTTTCATCTGTTTTAACAAAAGGCAAGAAGGGTGCTTGTTTGGTGTGTACTGAAAAGATTTTTATTTTACGTCCTTGTTCTAGCTGAAAAGGGATACTTAGTAAAATGCAGAGAAGAATGGGCAAAGACTAAAGATCCAGCAGCAGCCCTCAAGAAACTACCTGTAAAAAGGTGCGTGGAAGGACAGCTTCTACGTGGACTCTTAAAGTATGGAATGAAGAACATAATCTCTGCATTTGGCATAGTGAGTGTAAAAGTGCTGTGGGATATTTACTAGAGTAAACATTCTTTTGATGGTATTGTGATTAATTTGAAATAGACTCATAGATGCTTGATGAGTAGAAGGTTAAGTGTAAAATCTTTACAATTATCCTGCCTTTTGCTTGAAATACTGCTGCGTGGTAACTGATGATACCTGTAATTAATGTCTGCATAATGAGCTTTCCAATTTATACAACAAACTCTCTGGTATGTTGGAAGCAATGCAGTTGTACTTAGTAACCATGTATAATACAGATCTGAGAATTGTGCAAAAGTTGAGTATCACAGTTTTTCTGTTGCTTTAAAAGTATATAACAAATTGATAGTGTGCTAATGAATCAGCTTGGCATAGAGGTGGTGGATTCACTGTCAGTTTCAAGTGATGTAATCAAGATCAAGTCTTTGGAGAACACACCTCATCACCAGCAAACTACTGGGCCCATTGTAGGAGCCCAGGAATAATTTCTTGTTTATGAAGAAGATAATTAGAATAACACTGTGCGTTCACATCTACAGAGTTTACTTAAGATTTCAGGAGCTTGAGTATGAATTCAGTGTTTTATAACAGCCCCATGTGTTTGATGAGCTGTTTTTTTTTAATTTAAGCACAGGGTTTTTTCGTGCGGACTTCAAATGTCTGAAAGCATTAGTTTTTCCCATACCCTTTTCCCAAATAATGAAAAGAAAATAAAATCTGTATGCCAAGAAGTTCTGTTAGTCTTCTTGCTGGAGAAGGTAACATTTCAAATATATGCCTTTTTGGTTATGACAGAGGAAAAAACTAAAAATACATCTTTCTAATGTTTCACTTTTTTTTTCTTTACCTCTAGATACCAAGAAATAATCGTTTAATGTATATTCATAGCTACCAGAGTTATGTATGGAATAATATGGTGAGCAAGAGAATAGAAGAATATGGGCTTAGAGCTGTACCAGGAGATCTCATACTTAAAGGAGGTAAAACCAGACAAACAAAAAGCCAGTGATGCTCTGTAACTCAAATTCCTAAGAAAATAAGGCACACATCTGTTTATGTAATACTGCTTACAAATTTTATTTTCCCTCTCACCCATTTTGGTCAAGTGATTTTTGAATCCATTGGCCAGTTTTAGTCAGATTTTGCAGGGAATCAGAAGTTAAGGTGTTAAGCTTCCATGAGCTGTTGATTTGCTTGTTTTTCCAAAGCTGGACAGGGAAAAGAGAGATTTTGAAGGACTGATCTTCTCTAGAATGAACTCAAAACATTGTTGAGCTATGGAGAACTACAGAAAGATGTTATGAGTGTTTCAACCACCTAAGTTTTTGTTTGCATTAGTATATTGTAAAGCAGAGGCTCCACTCAGTTAAAACTTTCTTCCCTTGAATTTGCTTTGGCATTTCCCTGGAGTGAGAATATCCACAGTATTTCTCCTTCATGTGTGCCTTATGCCTGGTAAGGGTCTGTTCATCTAGCAGTCCTTACGTCATTCAGCTTTAAAAGTCCCCAGAGACCAGGCTGTGATTCTGCCAGTGATTGTGACAATCTTGCAGTCCTTACGTCATTCAGCTTTAAAAGTCTCCAGAGACCAGGCTGTGATTCTGCCGGTGATTGTGACAATCTTTAAGACTGTTACTTCTTTTCTTGGAAAGGTTGTCTATTAAGTGGAGGTAAAACACAGTTGTTATCCCTCTCAGAGTAGGCTTGTTTCAATCAAATGGTTCATTTTAAATTTAGCTAATGTTAACTGTCACAGGCATCCATACTGGTAACTCTTCAGTTTTCTGTCCTGATTGTAGCCACAGCTGTTCATATCGAAGAAGAAGACGTTGATAACTACACTATCCATGATGTAGTGATGCCGTTGCCTGGGTTTGATGTTATTTATCCAAAGCATAAAAGTAAGTCTGACTGTTAACTTATGTACTTACTGTGGAAATGTAAGTCTGTGTCGTGGGTTAAAGACTGCTTAA